TAATCGAAAGAGGAAGATAAAAGTTAAAACGCAGAGTTAAATACACTGAACTTTTATTTGAAACGATTTGGGTTGGTTATAATGATACAAAATTTATAGAAATAAATAAATTTATTTTTAAAAAAATGAATATCTGATGCAAAATTGGATCATTTTTAAAGGGTTGAAGGTAGTTAAAAAACAACAGGTTAATTTCATTATATTTATTTCCCTCTGAAAGCAATATGTGTAAATGATTGAAATTTGATAAAAATTAGAAGAGGAATTCCAAACTATTTCTTTAAAATAGTTTGGAATGTACCTATGCTTACTTTAGAAAAATATTATTTTCCTTTGTTTCTCATTGTTTTTCTGCACTTTTCTTACCGCTTAAGACTGCGCAGTCCCTACAAATTTAAAAAATACTGAACAAATTTTTTCTTTTCCTTTTCTTGTGGCTCATATCATTGGGTGGTTAGCCACAAAATTTCTCAGATCTGATGACAAACTAGTTTTTAAGATATTTGAAGTTTTCTGCGCTTAGGTTCTGGTTTCGGTTTCCTTTTAAAGCCTTTTTGTACTCTTCAATTGGATTAATTAAAAATGTTTTTGAGCACAATCAGCAATTGCAGTGTGAAATGTTTATTAATTTAAATTTTTATTACTAAAATCATTTCTACTCGATAATGTTCTAAATTTTTGAGTTCTCACAGTTAATTAATTAGGATTGATTTAAAGACCAATATTTGTTTAAAAAAATAGTTTATATAACCTAAATAAGCTTTATCATTAATTTTTTCCTGCTTCTCTATACAGCCGTTATGCGTCCCATTATCGCTTATGCTTCTCCAGTCTGGGGATATGCTACTAAAACCAATATTAAAATTCTAGATACTGTACAAAATTCTTACATACGTATGATTGTCAGAGCCACAAGATATATGCGTAATGACGACATACGGAATGCCTTAAAAATCAGCAGCTTTAAATCTAATTTTCAGAAAATTGCAATTAACTTCTTTAATGCTCTCCCAGATACAAATAACGATAATATGCTTAACTTAATCCCATACGATCCCAATATAAATACCAAAAGACCTAGAAAAATACTTCTCGATTCTTACACCCCCCCCCCTTAATTGATTTTATTCTCGCAATAATTTTTATTATTGCATCTCAGTAATTTCATTTACCATTTTTCCTTATTAACTTCCTCATATTAAATTTTACTCACCCCACTGGACAAGCATCTCCCACTTTCTCTATTCCCAGTCCCCAGCGCAGCCAATAGGAGTCTATGTTCACGCTACAACTGACGAATCAGAGAGCAAGCTCTAAGCTCTCACCCATGCCAAAAAAAATCGTTTCTACAGCAATCAGATGAAGAATCATTGCCACGCCTCCCGGATGCCATCGTCTCAGCCAATAGCCATGATTCCTGTTAAGCAGAAAGAAAAACCCCGCCATCGCCATGCCCAACATCAAAGTCAACCAGGATATGGGACTGAGGACTGTTTCACAGTCCAGATGCCTACATTACAAAGCCCATTAAACGCCATTAATTTTTTCCTGTTGAGGAAACGTCATGGCAAAAACGTTCTCAGGTTTCTTTGAGAAACAATATTTTGAAGAAATGGAATACTACTGAAAATGATGTATTTAAAAACCACCATCAGTTGATACTGCAATTAGACTTCCGGAAACAAGTATTCTGAATTCAAGTGCTGCAGATAAAACTGAATATTTCCATGATGTACCAAACTACATTATAGTATACATATTGCAGTACTATATTTTAGTATTTTAAAGTTGCGCAACAAAAACTCAAATTCGCTAAACTGATGGAATTTTAACTGAAAAACATTAATTTTATGTACAAACCTGGAGATTTTTAGCTTAAGTTAGTCTTATTACTATTTTGTACATAAATGCTTTGTGTTTCAAACCTTTTGTGAAAATATTAGGTTAAGATTAAGCTGAATAACCTGTCGTCATAACAAATGCTATCAATATTATAAAAAAAAGTATTTTGAGTTTTAAAAAAAAAATTTCTAATGTAGAACATATACTGGAAAATAACATATTAAAAAGTTAGAGCTTTACAGGCGTCATAAGTTTTTGTTTTATGCCATTACAAACTTTAAATGTCCTTTTTTTCAGACTTTTAATTTTGAAGGTATAAGTGTTTTTTAATCCTAAAGTTTTTTTCTGTTCAAGATAGTGTCGAAGTTTTTTGTATATACTCCCAAACGTATGTTCTATAAAAGTTAGTATGGATTTAGGTCACAGATCTCTAGTTATTTTTTCAAAATGCTAAATTTAATATTTTAAAAATTTTCATGCTTTTTCCAGGTTTATCTAGAAAAATAATTATTAAAAATCAACAAGGGAACATTTTTTGAAATTCATACTAACTTTTCTAAAGAAACATAAATACCTTAAAATGACTAAAAAAATTTTAAAAATTGAGTGTTTTGTAAGATTTTGAAAAAAATTCAGATACACGTAATTTCTTAAAATATGAAATAATGGTCAGTCAAACTGACTTTTTACTTTCAGAATCAGCTTGGTAATACGTATAATCTGAATATAAAACACAAATTGTTTGTACTGTTACCGTCAACACAAAAAAATTTTTGAAAATAGACACTGTTTAGCCTTAACAAACTTAGCTATAAATTGAAAGCTTTTCTGTGTAATATTACATAAATTTTGCTAATAATATAAAATGTATCGATTTCTAAGTTACTGAAAAGTGAAGAAAAAATAAAATATACTTTGAAAGGCTCTAATATGTTCTCAAAACCCGTTTTGCTTAGGGAAAAACAGACAAATTTTTTTTGTTTCCTAATCTTTGCTACACTTTCTCTTTTTTTCAATTCCTACTGTTAGTTCTCTCTCACCCTATATATATATAACTGTCATGCCAATTTATATTTACATTATTTTGAAAATAGTTTCATTACAAACCAGAATATTACTTTTTTCGCTATATTGATTATATAATCATTTTTGGCAAGCAAAACAGCTTTAAACCTAAAACTAATTTATATACATAATACCTTGATTTAATACAGCCAAACAGTAACAACTAGGAAGCAAATTTTCCTGATATAGAAATTAAATTAAAAGATAATGAAATAGTTACTAATATTTATGACAAACGAGAAAACTTTAAATTCAATATTATAAAAGTACCCCATTGAGAAAGTAATGTACATGTTCCTATTTTCAGAAATATAGTGATTAATTACATACCACGCAATAAATTTCTAGTTTCAAATAAATCAGAAAAAATTTAAAAAATTTAAATATTTTACTAAATACTGCTTAATTCAAAAATACCCAGTTAATTTTATTAATAGTTATATGAATAAAGAAATTCTAAATAGTAAAGATTAAAATTCCACAGTTTATTATTATAAATTTATCATTTTTCCTATATAGATATAGTTACCTCCAATTCTAATTTTAGATAAAATTACTTATTCTATTAGTTTTTTTTAATTCAATTAAACTTTAAATTTAATTTTTTTAATTTAATTTTTTTAAATCATATATAATTTTAGTGTTCCCAGAGAATGGTAGTATGTTTAGAATCATAATTTTGCTAAGTGCTACTATTCAGCCATTCCCATGCTTTGAATTTGCATTTGGGTCAAGAATCTGGCAATAACTTGTTTATTGTACTCAGAAATAGCATGAACTCTGCATTTTTAATGCAATTTTTAGGTAAGTTACCTTTTTCTTGTAATGCATTTAGATATTCTATCCATTATTTTCAATATGTTTTTGCTCAGTATTATTAACAAAAAGGGGGAAGGCTGGTTGGCCACAAAACATGTTCAACCCCACACTTTTATATGAATTATTTTATATATAAGCTGTCTTAAGTCAGCAATGTTTACAATACTGTAGCATCCATTTTTTTATATTTAACTCTATTATTTTTATTTTATTATACATCATTTCTAAAATCTATTCTCTGGTTAATTTTTTTTAGTTTTGTTTAATGTTTATTCATCTCTCTCTTGTAGAGAAATTTTGACTATATATATATATATATATATATATATCGTTAATAAAAATACTTACTTTCATCCATTCAAGTTCAAATACATTTTTTAAACTTGTAGTTGATGACATTACAAGTTTAGACAACTCTACATGTTAATACAGATTCTACAACTCTACATGTTAATACAGATTCTACAACTCTTCATGTTAATACAGATTTTTAAAATATTAATTCATTTAATAAATTAAAAAATGAATAAAAAGAGTAACAAACACACAATATAATAGTTCTACACCGTATATAAAAAGGGAAATCGCTCATTGTATCCATGTACCGCAATGGATAGTGCGTTGAACTTCCATTCCAAATGTCGTGGATTCGAATCCCACCAGGGATGGCCTAATTTCTGAGAATGTGATTTCTTTTTTACTGTACTCTTTTAGCGGAATAATTAAATTTATTTAATGAAATAAATAATAAAAATCAAAAAATAATAGTCTAACATCATATATAGAAAGGGAAATGGAAAATTGCGAGGAAAATCGTTTTCTATTTCGTTACGTAATATTGTTTTACTTAAATATGTATATACATATTTATATTAATTGTAACTATTTAATAAAAAGTAACTAAACTAAAATTTTCTTTTTTGACCTAAGTAAGATTTGACATAAAATTTATATATATATATTACTTACTATATGTTCAAAGCTATACCAGAAACCTCAGCTTAAATTTTAGAGCTAGTTGAAAGTCATTCAATAAAGTAAGAAACTCTTAGTTCTTGCTTTGCCACAGAATATTAATACAGGTAAAAGTCACAAATAAATTTTTTCCGTGTACTTATTGAATTATAGATCCCCCTCATTTAGACTTAAAAAATAAAGAGAACACTGGAAAATTCGCATCAAAGACTTCATGTGTTTCCCTTGAGGTTTTCTGAAACAGTAAACCTCTTAAATTCGAAATTTTAAGGAAACTTAATGGGAAGGAAAAGAGTAAGATTTTTCTCAGACTGTGTACATCGAAGCATCTTGTTTTACGATGTCGTTAAGCTCCGTGATAGTTGCCATTTTGCGAGAAAGAAATTGGATGCCGATACTCAGGAATTCTACCATAACATTTATTTGTGTCCTTCAAATGGCTCTCAAGGAACCTGTCTGGATATGGTGATAGTTAGTGGGCAAAACATTCAATCGGAATTTTTGTTCACTAGTTTAGAAGTTTTTAGCTAGTTTAAAGTTATAATTCTTGATTAGTCCTACCTTCGTCCATGAACAAAGAGGTTAACGCAGCGTTTTTCAAACTATGGGGCGTTTTCCCCTAGGGGGCATGATAACTCTACGAGGGGGCGCCAGCATTTTGAAAAGGCGAAAAAAAGATTATTTAAAAAAAATATTAATTCACTGAAAGAGAAAATAATACATGCTGACTTAATAAAAAATGAAGTACACATTTACACTGATATGATACACTTAGAAATGTATCAATACTGCACACAAAGTATTTTATAATTAATTTAACAATACTAAGTTAAGAACAACATTAATAATTGCTAGTGACCCGAAGGGTTTATAATACATAAAATTATACACAAAACTAACACTTATTCTGATAATTTGTGCAGTTTATAATTAATCCCTTAAGTGCCGATTAAAAATTACGTGATTCTCTCCTCAATGCCATCGTTTTCTACGTAGAAGGAGTGCGTATGTAATGTATTGGGGGACGGGGAGGAAAGGAATATACGAGTATATAAGCAAATCTTCTGAAATAAGTAAATCCTTCGCAAACACTCTCAAGGTCCTTTTATTGCATTCCAAAGCCTTCAGGATAATTGTATGGATGCAGTGCACATAAAATATTACACTTCGGAAAGGCGTATATATACGTCAGCGACAATTAACGCTTTGGCTGAGCGAGATGTTTGTCTACGCCGGTGGCACGTAAAAGTTAAAAGTCGTAATGTAGCTTTAGCGTCAAAATATAGCATTATTCGAGGGGGCGCAATGAAAATTATGATTTAATATTGGGTCGCAAATATCGAAAGTTTGAGAAGCACTGGGTTACAGAGAAGACTTTAAGCAAATCTTAATTTAGTTTTCATGCAAAGATCATTTCTGCTTACTGTAGCGAATATCGAAATTCAAAGTTTTTCAGAGAATACATGCGGGAATAACATTTGAAAATTAAAATTATTCGGATCGTTATCTTATTATGCTTGAGTCAAGAACAATACAATGCCTCCATCGAGGTTGAGAACCTGGCCCAGCTGGGCCATGCCTTAAAAGGTCCCTGGCTGTACATACATTATCTTCTATTGCAATGAATTCTTCCCATGATATAGGACAGTCCAATAATACAGAAAGTTTCTCAAACATTGTATTAAGTGTCGGCTCAATTTCAATACCCTCCTTCTACCAGTAGGGGAAATTGTTCATGTTAAGACAACAAAAATGCATGAAAATGCGTATTAGTTTGTCGGGACCACATTGTACTATTTCGTGTTAACTGATATTTTGTCTTAAAGTAACTGGGTACCATCTTTCAATTTCTGTTACTTTTAGTTTTTCAAATTTGGTTTTAATTGTATTTAAGAAAGGTCATTATTAAGTAATAATTGAGGAACAAAAATTTTCAAATTTTTTGCAAAATGTTTGTAAAATTAAAATTTTTTTAAATTTTTTTAACATTTTTAAATTTCTAAAACTTTTTTAAATATGCATATGTTTGTTTTCAAAATTTTTTTCGAAGTACCTTATAATATACTACATAAAACTGTGCATTGTTTTTTTTTATACTCCTGCTCATTCATTATATATTATTTTTTTCGTCGTGAAACATGCAAATATTCTCAAAAAAACACTAATCTTGATTTTGAAGTTTTTTAGAAAATTACTACGCATCTTGGAGATAATTCCGTGCACAATTTTACAAAGTATACTTTATAGAACATTTATAAAAAAATTCACATCCCTATTTCAATTATCAAAAAACCCTTAGGATTTTGAATGAGAATATATGATAAAAATTTCAACATGGAAAAATATCAGTTTGAAGTTTGAATAGCATTATATAATGTTTTCGAATAGTCTGAAACTTTTCATGAAATGTTAACTAGCTTTTATTTAAAACTGCTTACCATAAGAAATTGCCAAAACTGTAGAACAATTAAGCAGTATTCTGGCATAATGAGTACATAAAAAAATAGGAAAAATCAATATTTCATAAAACCTTACCTCAATAATTATAAAAAAAATAAATACATACACCTCAGAGCTAATTCCATGTTCAGTTTTACAACTTCAATAATGTACACAGCAGGTGCAAAGTTGTCCTTACCTTTATTTTTTTATTTTCATGGTTTTAAAAACGCCTTCGCATTTTAAATATTATACACAAATGAAAGCAAAATCAAATAGCAATTTATAGGTAAAATATATCAAAATCGAGGAATCTGTGCATTTGTTTAAAAAAATATCTTAAAATATTTTAATAATAATTGTGTTGAATTTCATACGCAAGGGATATAAATCACCGAAAATAAATATTTTAAAATGGGAGAGTTTTGCTAGTCTTTTTTGCGAAATAGATTTTTAATTAACAGAGTTATCAAAATGAGATTTAGTATTTTTACTTTTGGAGAATACGTTTTGAAGTTTTAATTTCATTCATAATAATATCATAAGAAGCTCGCACATCTTTTAAATATTGACCAAATCCATTTGTCTTCAATAAACATTACAGAAACTGTGTGTGTGGAATTTTTTTGCAGGAATTGCACAATTCTTTCTTGAAATGATTTGTCACTGCATGTATAATTCTACATATGTCAGTCTCATTTACGCGAGGTAGAAAAATAATTAAATCTTATTTTTTATCAGGCTCTTTTCTAGCAGAAGATCTGAAGAATGGGTGCTTAATCTGCTGTCCAGCATCAAAAATTGTTCCATAGCTAAAATAAATACAGGTACAGCTATGAAGTGGTGCAGGCATGTTTACAATGATTCGAGGTATGATATAAGCCCAATAAGAAAATATCGATTGTTTGATGATTTGGGGGGTACCACGTCACCTTAAGCGTTTTCGCGTTCCACATCTTTTTCTGTATTCGGTCGTTAGAGTTCTAACTTCAACTGTGAAATAATAAATGACAGAAATGTATTACTAAATTACAAATCATATTATCAATAATTCTTCAAGTAACAATTGAGTTTATTATTATATTTTAGTTAACATTTATGCATGAACTCTTTTGCCCCCCTTTAAAAAAAAGAAAATAACTTTTTATAATTTGTTATAATGTATCTTGACAAGTGTTGCATAAAATGCAATTTAGTAGCAGATATTTATAACTCAATTTTTCTTTACGATTGTTTCAATAATAGTTCGTTCTTACAAGTAATAAAAATTCATTTTTCAAGAAAGCATTTGAAAGCAATTTTTTTAGCCACTACTTCCTTAAGAGCAAATTCATTTTCTCAAATAAATAATGCTCTGCCCGAGAATTCAAATTGATTTATCGTAGGTTCTCTTATTAGTTCCGAACATACTTTTCAGAACTGAATGGGATCAATAATCGATATCCTAACACGTGTTTGAGGTCACGTAAGTATCTCAGATGCAAGCTTTGTCCTCACGACTTTCCTTAATAAAATATGGAATCAAGGACCTGAATGTTCCTGGTAACTGTGGAATGTTCACTGACGGAAAAACATCCAAACACAAATAAAGACTTGTGTTAGATAAATAAAATTTGGTAGGCGTGTTTATACATCTTAAAGACGGCATCGATTCAAATTTCGCGCTTTACTGTGGTGCTAGTAGCACCAATTAAAATTTGCAAATCAGGGGAGCTTTAAATGCGGGCTGTAAAGTTCATGAAAGTTATTTGCTTGTGAAATTTGACTTGTTGAGTTGATGTTAGCCAAGAATGCCTTTCAGAAAATGAAGTATGCCATTATAATAGCTCACCGATTTTGAACAAGGTCGTGTGACAGGTCTACGAGAAAGTGGCTTTTCTTTCTGCGATATTGCAGAAAGACTCGTCCGGAATGTATCCACTGTGCATGATCGTTGGTAGCAGTGGTCAAGGGATAGCACTACCTCAAATAGACTGAGTTCCGGGGGGCCACGTGGTACTATTGAGAGAAAAGACTGCCGTATTCAGCGTGCGGCTGTGACGCATTGTACTGCTTCTGCGGCAGAAATTAGAGATGCAGTTGGTACCACAATGATACAAAGAAACTATTATAATGGCTTACTTCAAGGACAGCTCTGAGCCAGGCACCCTGTAACGTGTATTCTACTGACTCCAAGCCATTGTCGTTTGCGACGCCAGTTGTGTCAGGCTGGAGCTCATTGTAGGAACGAGTGGAGATGTGTTGTGTTTTTTTA